GATTTTGCTCTGTACCGATCCCGATCCCGAAATATCGGTTCGGTATGGTTCGGGATTACACGTTAATATTTAACAATACCCTTTTATTTTTGAAAATTAAAAGTGAATTTAAATAAAAAAAATATGAAAAATTTAAAAAAATAAATATTTAAATGCAAGAGATGCGTATCAAAACTTAGTTTATATTTCACAAACTAAAAAAATGAATGACAACAAAGGAGTATTTCGAATCTTTGTGAATACTTTTATGTTCATACACAAATATTAAAACTCAAATAAAAGTATAATTTACACATAATAGAATTTGAACCAAATTTTTTTAAAAATTATTATTTAGTGAAAGAATATATAAAAATATTACTCCGGAGTATCATTTTTATAATATTCTAGTATATATGTTCGGTACGGGATTTTCGGTATGGGACGTCACCTCGTACCGTTCCCGAATACCGTACCGGCCATTCGGTTCGGTACGGTTCGGTTTCTTCTCGGTATTTTTTCGGTTTGGTATTTTTCGGTTCAGTATTCTCGGTTTTTTCGGGAAATTTCGGTATCGGTTCGGTACTTGCTCACCCCTAGGAACACAAATATGCACGACGTTCAAGTGCCGCACTTGTCGTGTCCAAACTCAAAAGTCAGAAAGCCTTTAAACAGACGATAACGAAAAATGAAGGAGCCCTAGAGAAACTAGGGCCTCCTATCCCGTCCTACTTTGAATGTTCTTTCGTTCCAATTTTATCAGAAGTCTCCAAAGGAACTGCATATTATAATGTGTGCTTGAGGCATTAGATAAGTTGCTCACCTCTTTTGATGCATATTATAAAAGTTTCCTAAGTTAAGCATTCTAATTCAATGTTTTTTATAATATAATTTGTAAATATAGGACTTTTAGGTTTTATTTCTATAACAATTTGTAAGTAAAAATCTTTTCTTTTTTTTTTTTAAAAAATGAAGTTTTGGACGTAAAAATTAACTAGAAATGTTTTAAGAAACGAAAAGAGTAATTATGCCACAATTACAGCAGAACAATGGTCCTGATTTCTTTTAACAACAAAAAACATCACTTTATGATAAAAGATAAAATGACTAACACAAAGGAAAAAAGACATATCACTACAATATAAAAAAAAACATGAGGCGACAATCTTTAAATTCTCAAGCAGTTTACAAAAAAGAGAGTAAACTACGCAGTTTAGAAACATACTCCGTAATATAGACCCATTCCCAAAATATCACCCATCATATTGCTTGCAAGTCCTATGGGTGACCGACCATAGATAGCCAAGCCAGGAGATCAAATGCCATCGAAATTTCGTCACTGTTGCGCACACTGTACCCTCTGGGCCCCGCCACCGTGCATGTCATCGTCCTCCTCGTACGCCTCCTGCGCTTGCTGCTGCTGCTTCCTGCGCATCTCGTCCTCAATGTTGACGTCGTGCAGGGTGGTCTCCTCGCACTCGTCCAGCTCCATCTCCGTGATCTCCGTCGCGGGCTTTGGAGGCAGCACGGCTTCCAGCGCCTTGCATTGGTCAAGAGTCAACGAGTCTGGAAAGTCAACCGTGAAGTGGATGTACAGTTTCCCTTTCATGAATGGCTTTTGATACATTGGCATTCCTTCGTCGTTTATGGCCTTGAATTGATCTGATGAAACGGTAAAACAAGTTCTTATTTGGTATATTGATCAAGAAAGAAATTGAATTGATAGTAATAGAAAACACCAGATTGTTTTCACACACCAGGCTTGACAACTTCTCCAGGAAGGGATTTGATGAGGAGCTGCCTGTTATCAAGGTGTGTGAGGATGAATTGGAAACCACAAAGTGCCTCTGTTAGGGACAAGGTGTGCTCCACAAAAATGTCATCGCCCCTTCGCTTGAACTTGGGATGTTCCTTTTGTTGCAAGACGAATACTATGTCTCCGGTGACAGTGTCAGGCTGAGAAACAAAGATAAGTTCATCCTAATAAGGCTCGCTGTGTTGGGTATCATTTCAAGAGCAAATTTAAAAAATGGTGCACAGCGTTTCACAGTAATACTAAGAAGAAGGAGAAGAAGAAAAACTTACAGCTTCATCAGCCTCTCCAGGGAAGGTGATCTTCTGGCCATTCTGCATTCCCTTCTCCACGATTACTTCCAACACCTTCTTCTCTTGCACCACCTTCTCACCCTTACACTGTCCACATCTGTCCTTGTCATTAATAGTCTCACCGGTACCTTTACACTCATTGCAAGGGTGTTGCATCTGCTGGATCATAGACGGTGCAAGTTGTCTGATGGTTACTTTCATCCCAGAACCCTGGCAGCCAGAACACTTTGTTGATGCACCAGATTTAGACCCTTTGCTGAAAAGAGAATCGTAGCCGTTCATTAGACAACCGAGTACATATATTTATAGGATACTACCTGAACACAATGGAAATAGACACTTACCCCTTGCATTTTGGACACAGCACATTTCGTGACAAAGACAGCTTCTTTGAAATTCCATTGTAGAGATCCTCCAAGGAAACCTTGAGGGGGTGAACAACATCCTCTCCTCTTCTTTGTCTACGGCCTCCCCTGCCGCTACCACCACCTGCAAATTAAGAGCATAAATGTCTGCTTCTAACAATGGCCTATCCAAATCTTTGGATAGGTAAAAAATAGGTAGAGATCTGAGATACAATGTGCACATAAAAGGCATACCACCAAAAGGGCTGCCACCAAAGAAGGATTGGAATATGTCAAATGGATCATGCATTCCACCGCCTCCTCCCATTCCTTCCTTGAGTGCATCTTCACCATACTGGTCATAAATCTCTCGTTTTTCAGGATCACTCAGTGTCTCATAGGCATGAGCGATCTCTTTAAACTGAAACACAACATCCAAAAACAAAAGAAGGATTAAATCACATATCAAACGGATCAATGGGCTTGATTTAATTACAATTTACAATTTTTCAAGAATACAAATGAGAGCATTAAATCATGGCTAAAACGGAGAATAGCCCTATCAGCAAAACATCGTGAGGCATGCCAATGGAGCTGTTTGAAGTGTTTAAATTTATCTGATTGTGTTAAAGAGGCGAATGATAAAATGCAGATTAACAATTAACACCTGTTTTAAAGCCAAAAGCTTAACTTCTAAACAAAAAACGTCTAGAGACTTCAAGAATAATCTTAAATTGCTTTGATCTGATAATCTGATTAGTAAAGATCAACACTAACTAATGGAAATCTACAATTAAAAACGACTCAATTGTAAATAACACCTATTATTAGCTAAACGCTTTGAATTAAAACATAATGTCTTGTCACTTCAGGAATTGAAAAGCACGACCTTGGTTCCCCACATATAATAGGAGAAAAGAAAACGCTAGAAATCTCTCAAGTCAGTACACAACACTAGTTATAATTTCAAACACCGATCTGATAATCAGATTTAACAAAAAGCACCACAAATTCACGGAAATCTACAAATCAAAACTTGAAAAAAAAAGCTCAGAATCACCAATTGCAGAAATACCCAACAAGATCAAACAAAAACACAATACCTTCTCGGGATCGCCGCCCTTGTCGGGGTGATTTTTGATGGCGGCCTTTTTGTACGCCTTCTTGAGATCCTCCTGAGAAACGTTCTTATCAACTCCTAAGATCTCATAATACTTGGTGTTGTTGCTCTTCTTCGGCGCCCTTCCGAACATCTTCTACGAATCTGTGAACTGCGAAAGAGATCTATCAGCACGATCTACACAGACAAAGAGGAATGAAAGCTGATACATATGCAAATGTCAATCGTTATATATGTACTGAGATCGTACCGATAACAGTTGCAGAAATCGGAGAGACGATGAAGGCTTCTTAGCTTTGATTCTTTCCCAGCGCTGAGGAAGATGGAAGGTAGATCGGGCCAGATTTATTTGCGGGGGGCAAGACACATACGCGAATAATCTAGAAGAGTCTAGAAAAGTTGTGGTTCCTTCCTAACAAATTTCTCATAGACAAATTTTTTTGGTAATTAAAATTATAAAAGTTGATNAGGGGTTTAAAAGACAAACTTGAAAAAATTCAACTTTAAATTTTAAATTTTAAATTTTAAATTTTAAATTTTAAATTTTAAATTTTAAATTTTAAATTTTAAATTTTAAATTTTAAATTTTAAATTTTAAATTTTAAATTTTAAATTTTAAATTTTAAATTTTAAATTTTAAATTTTAAATTTTAAATTTTAAATTTTAAATTTTAAATTTTAAATTTTAAATTTTAAAAATTTAAATTTAAAATTTTATATTTTAATATTTAAATTTTAAATTTTAAATTTTAAATTGTAAATTTTATATTTTAAATTTAAATGTTAAATATATAATTATGCTTTTTTAAATTTAATTTTTTAACTTTAAATTTTTATTTTTGAAGTTTTAGGTTTTAAGTTTTAATTATAAATATCAAATACTAAATTTTTATTTTTTAAGTTTTCTTTCTTATATTTTAATTTTTTATTTTCCTTTTTTTACTAAAAAAAATTTGAATTTTTAATTTATAAATATTACATAGTATATTTCAATTCTTATATTTTAACTTTTAAATGTTAAATGTTAAATTTCAAAATTTAAAATTTCAAATTTCAAATTTTTAATTTAAAATTTTTAAATTTTAAATTAGTATTTAAAATTTTAAATATATCCAGGTTCCAGGATTCACGAGTAAGTTTATCCAAGTTCAAGGTTGGAGGTGGAAACATTAACTTTTTGTTATTAGATTGAAAAAAATATGAACAAAATACAAATTTTATTTAAAATTTGAAATACTAATTTAAAATTGTGAGCACTTTATTCAAAAAATAATAAAAACTTTAGCATAGCACTCTCGGTTGGCAACCAAACTCTAAAACCCATCTTCCCAATCCTCAGCCGCCACGGCAGGTTTCATCTCCCTCCCGTCGGAAAACCCATAAGATTAATTTGTAAATACAATATAGAGGTTTGCCTAACTTATTCTTTCTATCTTTACTGCAATTCGATCGATAAAATGTTGATTGCTGATATTGTTGCAATTTCTTCCCTCTGTCCATTTTGTTTCAGTTCAAAATCTCTGTTTTTTTCGTATTTTTAACTTTTTATTTTTCTTTCTTGGAGTATTTTTTATTTACTCGTATATATTTTTGCACCGCTTCTTTTGAAGTCATGCTGTTTGATGAATGTTCTGAAAGAAAAGGGGTTTATGAGTGATTGTCCGGTTTGATTTCCAAGAAGATACAGTTCATTACAAGTACATACCTGAGTAAAGAGTTTTTCCATTTAGTGAGGGTAATGGGTATTTTGTACAGGTCAGGCTACCAGTTTTTTTCCGAAAAATAAAGTCCAAATTTTAGTTTTTGTGTAATTTTCAGCTAAACCATAGTATATTCTTTACGTTTATGATCCCTGGTTTTATTCATGAGGACTTCCTAATATATTTTCTGCATTAAAAGAAATTATTTGTATGATTTTCATACTCTCATTATATACCTCTACGAATTAAGGATGTAGGGTGGATGCTGAAAGATGAGATTGAGACTTCTTATTTAGTCAATTTTGTTATGAAGTAAAAAGTTGCTAACAGACTTAACACGAAACGGGGCACTGTGATAACCCATTAGTTTAACCCAACATGTCAAGGCAAGCACCTCTTCCTCCTCGTTGCCCCCTTCAAAAGAAAGCTACAATGTCCCCAAATTTGGGTCCCATTTCTCCCACGTTACTCCAGGAAAACCAGTTTCATTCTAAGCACCATAGATCAGCTTCTCAGAGTTTGATCATAGATGAGCAACCTGCATGGCTTGATGAGCTGCTGAGTGACTCTGAATCAAGTGCTTGTGGTGGAATATTGCATAGGCGGTCTGCTAGTGACTCTTTTACTCTACTGGATGAAGTTTTTACATTACCAAGTCTAAATATACTTGATGAGTCAGAAGAATCTTCTCCAGCTGGCTGTGATGAATCAGATGAAGGGTCCAAATCTGCTTGTGTGTATGGTCCTAATTCCCCACGAGGAAAAGGCAAAGTAACCTTTCCAGATAATGCCATACTTTCAGCCCTATCAGATTATGTTTCTCAAAATGCTCTGCAGTGTTCAGATTGGAGTTTGCCTTTGTCTGAAACTGCTCAAGGGGACTCAGCAGGCGATGCTAGTGGTTCTAATGGAGAGAATGTTATGGAGGCAAAACCAGTGAAGAGGTTAGAATCTTGGCTCTTATGTTTGTTCTGACATTCGCCCATTGCCAATGGACCTAAACCAGTCTACAATGTTTTAGTTTCGGACACTTAATGGACTAAATAAAATGGCACATTAAACTTCTCTTGCTTCTTACTTTCTACTAAGTTTTGGGAAGTAAATAGAGCAATGCATCTTGGGTCTATTGGAAACAATCTCTCTTGACCCCACAGACCCAACGGCGTTGGGAATATACTGGCTTGTTGTTGCATGTTTGTTCTGAGATGTCGAGTTTTATGTTATTGTCGCCGTTTATTTCCTTTTAATTTTAAAATGTGGTAATTACTGTTCATTTCATTTGGTTTGTCTTTGAATCATATGCATGATACTCAATATTGTGTCTCACTGTCTGCTTGGCGAATTTCGATCTGCACTTTCTTGTTCAGGTTCCCTGATCTGTGTTTATTTACGTTACCTGTCTGTGTTTGGCATTAATAATTAAATAATTTATCTACATGAAAATGAGAAAAGTTGAGATTACTCCAATGTGAATGGTGAAACAAAGCTATGATGCATGTTTATACTCATTCTATTGCTTGTTATGCTTTGGTGTATGATATAGAGATATTGTAAATATAAATAATGATGAACCAATGATCAGTTCTGAATATTTGAAAATTATTTATTGTGTCATATATGTACAATGCATTAAAACTCTACAAAAATCTGAAACAATTCAGTTTTTTAGGTAAATGGTACAACTACTATGCATTTTTTGAAAACTATACCGTTACTTTGTGATTTATCAACATTGAGCTTCTATTTGTAAGGGCTAATGTATGGGACTCAACTACGTACATATTTAAGGTGGGTTTTCAACATTTTTAATAGATGCCCCAATGGTACCTTGGTGTGATCTCTTTTTCTCCATTATCCAAGATTTCTTTCATGTATGATTTAAAACATTGAAATGCTTTAGCCAATATTGACCGCCACCTCAATCTAATATGTATGTGTAGGTAACATGAAAGTTATAGTGCTAAGTAATCATCTGAAGTTAGTTAAGACTATGAATTAAGCAACAAAGAATAACAATCAAGTTTCATGAAGCTTGATCTTATTTTTGTAACCTTCTTAGTTCTTACGAAGGCATACACCAACAACAGAATGTCACATTCTTTTTATCTTTGATAGGGCTAAATCTTTTCCACCCAATGTCAGATTCTTTTTATCTTTGATAGCGCTTAATCTTTTCCACACAATGTCACATTCTTTTTATCTATGATGGCGCTAAATCTTCACCATTGAATATTGATGCTCTATTTTACTCCATCCGTTCTGTAATAGTGTTCCCAATTGTCTCTTTCAGGTATTCAAAGTTATGCTCATAGTCTCATACTCCCTCCATCCTTAAAATGGGATGACACATTCATTTTTTGGGGCAGGCAATTAAGGAAAGCAGGACATTTATTTAGGGACAGAGGGAGTAAATGCTATAAAAATTTGATAAATCAAAACTACATTGTAAAATGAACCCAATTGTATTAAATTTATATTATAACTAAATAAACTCTAAAAAAGTCAAATGTAAAGACCACTTGTTAAAATACTTCATTCACCCACTGTTTTTCCATGTTTTTTTGTACCCATTCACCTAAAAGCGTCTCATTATAAAACTACCTCAAAAAAAAGGACACACATAAACTCACACTCTTAAACTTTGTGCCTTGTGAGAGCACTTATGAAATGGAGGGAATACTTCAAACAAAATCAAATCTTCATGATACTCTTCATTTTCATATTACCTGTTAGTTCTTTCTTATATTTATCTGCTATCACGACATCATCTCCAATCAACATGCACTATAGCATCCATATTGGATATTCATGTTTAACCCATTCATAATGGCAGCATATAGGAATGAGCTTAATATTCTTTCTTGATGTGGCACAATTGTTATACACAAATCTTTTGTCCCTCCGTAGTCCCTGCAAAGCGTTGAGATAATTGCTATTGTTTGATTCTGTCACAAAAATCAACATACACATCATGGTACATGACCACAATTTAAGAAAAAAATCAGCCTCTTGTAATTGATGGTACACTGATGTGCTTTTCATTATCTAATATTTCTCTCATCTTTTATAAAAAGTTTTGAAATGCATTAGCTACTCTTCATTAATGTAAGTAATTCCTCATAAGTGATCAGGTGATGTCGAATCTCATTTCCTTAATGGACTGACAGCTAGCTTGCAGTTTGGGTTTTTTACTCCAGCCACAAACATTTTAACAGAGAAACATATGGTTTGTTCTGTTGTTAATGAGAGAAATTGCGAAGCGAGAAAGATATAATGAAGAGAAGGAAGAAAGATATAGTTGAGAAATAAAGTGGATTAGTTGTATTGTTTTTTTGGAGAGACCTTGGAAACAACCTCTCTACTTTTGAGTTGGGGTAAAGTCTGTGTTCACACCCTCCTCAGACCATACTTTTTGTGGGATTTTACTGGATTTGTTGTTGTTGTGGGAGAGACCTTGGAAAGAAAGACAAGTTTTTCAGTTTTTGTATACCCAAGTTATAAGTTTTTACTACTTGTCAAATAACAAGAATATCCTTTACATACTTTCTTCCCATAACAGGGAGTGGAGAGTGCAAAAAGCGATGGGCTCCACATATTTAAATCATTGTACCATATTCCCTTTTAAGCAAACAAGAGAAAAATAGCATTTATCCTTTCCTTTTGCATTCTAACATCTCTCCTCTTTATTTCTCTCGAAACAAAAATATGCCATTAAGGTGTATCGTGCACATTGATGATTGATGAATGTTTAGAGATAATGAGATGGATATGAACCTTAATATTCTTTGGTACTGGTGTTAACTATTGTCCCTCTATACCTCATTTCTTTAATCACGGCTTTTCTTTAGTCAATAGTTTCAATGCAAATTGTTAAATGCCTGGTACCTTATCTTCTTTGGTCAGCAAAGTTGTAACAATCTAAAAATTTGTGTGTTATCTTCACACTTGAAACTTATAGGAGTGATTAGTCGCTACAAATAGGCCCATACTATTCTTTTGGTGTGGAAAGTTAGAAATATGACCATACACTAATTTTACATGCAGGCACCCTGGGCAGAGGTCGAGGGTCCGTAAGCTCCAATACATTGCTGAGCTAGAAAGAACAGTCGACACTTTACAGGTATTTTTTATGCAAAACCTGTTCAACAAATTGCTGCCATCCTTAATTATTTATTTGTGTATTTTGAAGTGTTTCCATGTGACCTTGGTCTCGAGTCTTGAAAATAGCATTTCAAAAATGCAACACATCACATCCTTTTCGTGGGACCCTTTCCCAGAGTTTCACCAAGTGAGAACACTTTGTGCCCTGGCTTGTCCTTTTTATCACAGTTAACTAAAAATCCTCTTTTTTCTATAACTTGTTTGGTATTGCTAAAAGATTGGCCGAAATGACTGATTATGTTGAAGTTAGAGGTGGTTTTGCTTTTGCTTTTGATAAGCGTTGGAATTCTCTAAAAATGCATTTAAATTGTACTCCGTATTTTTTATGAAACTAAATGAAACGGTATCTAAATGATGAGGGCAAGGAAGCCATTTACCCTCATTTTAGCCATTCAGTCAAAAATAATTTTCTTAATTTTCCAGTCAGCCTATTCATTTAATAAAAATGAGTTTGCGTTTAGTTGATGGTATGATGATGAGCCAAAAGTTGGTGCATTACCAATCGAATGAGCGCTGCATGTGCTATTTTATGAAGGGTCATTTCATAATAACAAAGAAGTCCTTCCGCGCTTAACATCAATTGGATTATGCAATTCATTGCAATGCTGAAGTGCTGAGAACATTCCTTGTGCAGGGTGTTAGATCAGAGTTAGCTGCTAAAGTTGCATCTCTTCTTCAGCAACATAGTGCTTTGTCTTTTGAGAACAATGAGCTGAAGCAAAAGATAACCAGGCTTCAACAAGAAAAGTTGATTGTTGATGGTAAGTACGTGCTTTATTTCCCTTTTTGGCATGTTGGGTCCCGTTAAATGCCACCAAAATGCTGAAAAATGCTGACAAGTTATTTTCTTGTGTTAGGTTTTGACTCGAAAATGAAATATGAATTTCTAAAGGGGGGCAAGGGTCAACGACAAACCCACTATAATCCCAACTTATATTGACCCCCTTAACAACTTCTACATATGTTTGAATATCATATTCTAAGATAGAAATAGCTAAATGATATGAATTTGAACTGACAATCAGTTCTTTTGACACCAAGGGCCGGTGACATAATATGATACCGGTCCATTTGAGGGTCCTATAGTAATCTGTTCGACCCCGAAGTGGGCTCTACACTTCTACCCCTCTAATCCCCAATAAACTCCCCCTCCCCCTCTAGGTTCACCATTATGCTACAGTTTGAAACTACTTCGAAGTCAAATGGATCACTGTAGGACCTCAAATGGATCAGGTATCATATTATGATACCCATGATATGACACCCATGAGTGGTGTCAAAAGAACCCCATTCTTGAACTGAATCCAATTAAAGAAATACTCCAGGCATTTATTTTGAACTGATGTTTTAGTTTCCCATACATTTTCTTTCCCTCGCATCTTCACAGTTCCAACTGAATCCTTTATGGTTTATTATATGAAGAAAAGTAAGTTGTGCTCTGTAATTGTCACCCATTGTCTGTCAATCTTGTTCCGTTGAACGTAGAAGAAATGACACAATTCTCTCTGTACATGCAGCTGAGTATCATTCACTGAGGAAAGAATTGGAGAGACCGAAACCACGGGATAAGCTCAGATCATCTACGGGTTCAATGGGCACATGGCAAATGCTAGACTTTGGAAGACTAAATCTCAACTAAACAAGTGTGGAAGACGAAAACAAGAATGGCACCAGATCATTTCTCTTCCTCCCAGTCACACTCCTGCTAAATTGTAAGCTCTCTTTGTTTTGCTTCTGGGAGTGGGCTGTGTGGTCCAATTGGAGAGACATTTTTTCCATTTTCAACTTGGATGAATGTCACATAACACACTCCTTCTATGATGATGATGATGTTAACACTTTTTAGCAACTGCATTCCCATGAAATGATAAAATCAGGCATCAAGTTATTGAAATATGCTCATTAACTGGTTGAGTTTGCCCAGGAGTTTCTAAATTATACTTCCTCCGTCCCCAATTAGATTACAATTTTTTTCTCTCTCTCCTCTCGATAACTTTTGTTTGTTTACGCGATTTCATTAAGTATTTGATAAAATAATATATTCTTGTCACCTCTTGTTTTATAGAACTTTTTACGTAGTTTTTTAATATGTAATTTTTATATCTTATTGGTATACCAATTTATAAATAAAATGATTTTAAAAAATAGAAAATTTTACTCCGCAACACGCAATTTGTAATGAAATTGGGGACGGAGGGAGTACATTTTAGATGTACCATTTATAGGTTAAAGAATACATATTTCAAACTATGCTTTTGAAAACAATTACTCCACATAAGACAAAGAACAAACTCCCACTTATCAAGGAAACATCCTTGTGAAAACAATTGTCTTTCCTCATGATTAGTGAATGTAACACCATGTGAAAAATCAGATTTTGAAAATTAATATGATGTGTTTTATTCTTTGGGTGAAATCTTCGAATTTCTTAATTTATGGAGTACTCTTTATAACTTAAAAGTAGTTTTCTTTTGTATGAGTGTTAGGCAAAAAATATTTAATTAGGTGTGGTTCTTAATTAAATTTTAAAACTAATTCCAAGTTGAGATAATAGTGTGTCATAGAGAGTATATCTTAACATTGACTTGGTTTATCGTTATTCTTATTTTTCTCATTTCGGCTTTCCCATTTCTCCTTTAACTATTCTTTTCTTCAAAAAAACGAAAAAGACCTTATACACCCCAAACCCTTTCACACTAATTTCATCATCCTACATGCTATTGCAAAATTGCCATTTTCTTATATACACTTGGTAAGACTTGGAGTTTAGGTTTGTCATCATCTCACAAAAAAAAATTACGTAATTAATACTATTTTTGAATAAACTTTGAAGTTCATCAAAATTTTAAAATCATGCAAAGTGAATTTGCAGAATAATAAAAGTTTACAATGCATTAGTTTTTTTTAGATATTTTTAATTTCGTAGAACTAAAATTGCAAAATCAAAGAGAGTTAAATTACGAGATAAAATTATGACAATGAGATGGAAGTCATGGAACCTTTATTTATGCGTTCCTTAGCTTCTCCATTTAATACTGTTGGTTCTACCATGGACATAAAGTTTATACTAATACAATTAATTAACATTGACCTTCTCCGAAATAATAATAAAATAAAATAAATTAATACTCATCACAATATTATGATTTTTTAGGCGGGCTTAAGTTTACTACTTCGCAAAAGATGTATCGATATAACTTTGTTTTGGAATGTTTGTAAAAGAAAGTGACAACTTCAACAATCTAGTAACAGTAAATTTATCTTTGAATCTATGGTTCATACTCAATATATGAATCTTAGTGTGTTTGTATTATAAAATTAGATCTTCTCAAAAAAAATTCGCATGTAAACCAATGGAAAATATGAAAAGGTTTACATTATGTGGGCATTGAGACTATGGAAGCATCACTCATGTATAACACATGATACATAGATAGTACTCTCTCCGTCCTATTTTAAATCATCTCTTTTGGTTTACGATGTTTGACTGAAATTATTTTCAATGCAAATTATTAAAGAATTGGAACGTAGTTAAAAAATAAACTTTACATATTAAAAAACTAGACATCAAAAGCTCTACAGAATAAAAAAACATATGACTATATTAATTTATCAAATAAGTAACAAAAATAAAAAAAAGAAAATAAATAAAATTTGACCATGTAAATAATAAACATGCAACTGAATTTGGGACCGAAGAAGTATAAAACAGCACAATATAACTTGGATTATACAATGTTGAAAATTAGGAGAAGCAAACTTTCATTTAGTTTTTACACTCAAAAGTACAAGAGGAACAAATACGTACGGAGAATATGCTACACGCCTAAAATACATCAAAACACAAAACAAGCCAGAAGTAAAAAAAACCATAAACCATCTCCCTAAGAGATGATCTAGGGAAGACATAGCTCAAGTGTATAAGAATTAGAGGGGCACACCTACATAGAACACCATTTTGCAATGCTAAGAAAGGTTCAATTTTAGGCCGAGTTTTTTCTTAGCAATGTAACGCCACAACTCGAGTATCCGAATTTATTCGTGTAATCGGCTCGCGGTGTTAACGGGTCTAACTTTTTGAAAACGATAAATGGAGCATTAAATATAACTTATTCATTTATTAATAATATCAAAGTATACATTAAACATGCGGAAACTTAAAACTTGATAACATAAAAAAATTATCATCACAACAGTAGTTTCCTTCTAGTTTTTTTATTCTTATTTCTTTTTCTTTGTCGGTATGTATTCCCTGGAGATTTACTGTTTCGACGTTCCTTCCATAAAAGGATCTGAGGTTCTTTTCCGCTTCCCGAGGTAGGTATAGAACTCCATCTCCAAAATTTCCTCCAAATCCGAATCTGGATGGTTCACTGAAGGTTCATCTGCTGCTACCAGTTCCGGTGCTCGAGCCTCCAGTTCCCTGAGTGGTTCTAGAGGTGGTGCCCATGGAATCCCATACCTTTAGATTTGGAGGAAATTTCAGAAATGGAGTTCTACACCTACCTTGAAAAACGAAAAAGGACCTCAGATCCTTTTATGGAAGGAACGTCGAAACAAGAAATCCCCAGGGAATACCTACCGGCAAAGAAAAGGAATAAGAATAAAAAAACCTAGAAGGAAATTTCTGTTGTGATAATATTTTTTTTATGTTATCAAATCAAATTTGTCTTGTGAATAATAAAGATGCATCTTAATTTGAGATGGAAGGAGTATAAAACATAGAAACATCACAATTTAACTTGGATGATACAATGTCAAAAATTAGGAGAAGCAAACTTTCATTTATATTTTACACTCAAAAGTACAAGAGGAACAAATGATACAATGTCAAAAATTAGGAGAAGCAAACTTTCATTTATATTTTACACTCAAAAGTACAAGAGGAACAAATACATACGGAGAATATAGTACGTGCCTAAAATACATCAAAACAGAAAACAAGTGTAGAAATGCTACAAACTTTCAAGTAACAACAACAAAACCAGTAAAATTCAGCAGTAACCAGAAGTAAAAAAACCATAAACCATCTCCCTAAGAGATGATCTAGGGAAGACATAGCTCATAGCTCAAGTGTAAATATAAGAAGGGCACACCTACAAAGAACGCGATTTTGCTTTGCAATTCTAAGAAAGGTTTGATTTTAGGCCGAGTTTTTTCCTAGCCATGCCAACAAACAAATCCCCGGACTTTATCTTGCCCGGAAGACATCCAGAAAAGGATACAGGCCCAGCTTGCATCACAGCGTCCTTTCGCCCCAGAGAAACAATAGCTATTGTTAAACCGGGCTTATACTTTGCCAGTTTCTGCTCATTTGCTCCAGTTATCAATAACTTCAAGTTCTTGCCTGCAACTTGTGCATGATTTTGAGCTATATATCCTTGCTTGAGTTCCTGAACATTGTGATTTGTGAGCACATCTTATCAGATTACAAATCATATTTCACCAAACCAAACACAATGTTAGCTTTCCACATTTAGTTTCATTCACGACTATTGAATCCTTTCCACTTTTGGCACATGGCTTTCTTTTCATCTATTTTTTTTCATTTGTAGTGCACAAGTTTGTGAGTTTGTGTTTGATCCAGCCGGGGGTCTCTTGGAAACAAGATCTTCACTTCCAAGTAAGGATAATGTCTCCGTACATACACCCTCCTCAGTGCACGGTTACCTACATATTTTTGCTTTTTCCAGTCCCTTATAGGTCAACTATCAACCACAGTACAGTGCTTGACCAGATAAGAGGCATGTAACTGAGAAAGGATCAATAGTTGTGCACCAAAAGTGAGAAAAATGAAAGTCATATGCTAAAAATGAGGAATAAACTAATAGTTGTGGGACGAAAAGTGGAAAATTTTCAAAACCATTATCAGGCTTGAAAATGCTTTGATTTGAAATGGAAACCAGTAGGTTGCTTACTTTGATATCAACAATGTCTCCAATGGCTAAAAATGAGGAATAAACTAATAGCTGTGGGACGAAAAGTGGAAAATTTTCAAAACCATTATCAAGCTTGAAAATGCTTTGATTTGAAATGGAAACCAGTAGGTTGCTTACTTTGATATCAACAATGTCTCCAATGGCAAAGATATTATTGTGACCCTTGACCCTCAAATTTGAATCAACAGCCACCTTTCCATCCTTATCCAAGCTATCTTTCAAAATGGTACCCCTTAGCCATGATGTCCCAAAGGGCTTAGCAGCACAGAGAAAGTGGAGATCAGCGTATACGGTTTCTCCTCCACGTAACTTATACACACCATTTGAGGCCGAATTCAAGTCAACGGATTGGCCCAAGATGACCTCAACCTTCTTTGAAATCAACCAATCAAACGCCTTTTTGCTGGCCTTTTCTCCAACAAATTCCATCAATCTTGATCCGCGGTGCACAAGTGTCACCTTCTTTTCGGGAAAATCGACGGCTATTTCAGCAGCCAGCTCTACACCCGTCGGTCCCCCTCCAATTATCAATACGGAATTAGCAGATCTGATTTTTTCATTCTCTGGCAAGAAGAACAAAGATTCATCAATGGACCAAATTTCATGAATAAATCTTAAATAAGAACAGCAGCTGATTGGGTACCTGCGGATTTAAGAAAACCCGAACCCAACTTATAAACTACTACTAAGTATGTAGTGAGTATAATACATATGACAAGTTACCAAAGGTCTTACCGTTTTGGTAGTAATTGAGCTTTTCCTGTTTTGTAGAATTTCCATTCTCCACATGACCAGTGGCAACAACAAGGTAATCATAAGTGATCTGCTCGCCTTGTTCTGTCAAAACTTCACTCTGTGTGATGCCAATAGCCGGAGACGAAATGATACTTGCTTTGTGAAGGTATTCATTGTGGTTAATCACTGTTCTCTTTGCGAAAGACGGTTCAATCATGCACCTTAAACTTGCCCACGAAACCTCAAAATACTCTTTCCTGTGGTAGTACACAATTTACAATATGATGAACTCAGCCAAAACAACATAACACAGGAAAACAAACAAAATCAATGTAAAAAGGAATTAGAAGTTTGACAGCAATGAGCCTACACAGAAATTTGAATTTGATTGCGAGAAACCAGTCAGTTAAAAAATCAAGGAAAAACCCTCAAAATGAACATAGACTATAGAACTCATAGTTGAAGTTAAGTATAACAATAAAAACCAACTAAGAGTTCGGTTTGGCCTTCTAGAATGAACCTCATACTAAATCCAAACAACTGATTTGATACTGGAAAGCTTTAAAAACAAGCACACATATATCAAGATCAGTTTGTTCGAACGATTCGCTATCTCGAGGATCATGTTAAGTCATCTCACCAAATACTGAGTATAAAAATAAAAACTAACATATGCAACCTAAGTCTAAATGAAACTAGATCAACCAAAGTAATTTGAAATCCACATTTCCACACAAAATTCATTAATGTATAATCGGATTAAGTTGATTTAACAAAAAAAACTTAATAAAAAAGGGGGCCGGGGAAGCTTACGAATCAATGAGGAAAACGTCGCAGTGGTTCTGAAGGGTATAGGCAAGAAGAGAGCCACCAACTCCTCCGCCGACAACCACCACCCTTTTTCTCTCCGCCGCCAAACTCCCCATGATGTAGCTCCCGCACTCCAAAACCTAATTCTGAAATCAGACAAATTGTAAACACGAAACTCAAAGAGATGAGCTGATTTGTGGTTCAGTGGAAACATCTGAACCGGCACCGCGTTTATATACACGCGAAATTGAAATTCTTGGAAGGACGGAAATGTGCAACTGCTCGGTTCCTTCTCTTGTTGCGGAGAAGAAGAAAAAAAGTTAATGCGGATTTTGACTTTCTGCTCGGGGATGGATTGAGAATCTAAGTCATTCTGGCCTCGTTTGGATGGTGAGTAAGAAAACGCAAGCATTCAATCATCTTCTCACTCAGGATATGCTCTCTTCTTTTCTCAAAACGGTTCCTCATTTGATTTTGGGGAAAAATAAGGTAGTGTTAATTTGTAGTTGATTTTCCAATTTTGCCCTTGATGTGATGGGTAAAAGTAAGATGTGATAGTTTAGTTGTTAGTGAAAAAGTATGATGTGATAGGCATGGTATGAAAACGTAGGGGTAAAAGTGGTTTTTTAATAGAAATGAGAAGTGTTTTAAGAAAAACAAAAAAAATGAAAGAGGAAGGGTTTTAAGAAACGGAGGGAGTATTTGGATTGATATATTTGGATTGAGGGAGTTAAAATTTTATTAGGTAGGTAATGGTAAAAGAAGGTAGATAAAGTAAGACAATAAATTTAAAATTTATGTTTGAATATTTATTAGGTAATGTGAAGTAAGTAAAATAATAAAATTACTTAAACACCCATGTTCTTAATTTTCTTTACTCGTTTCTTGGAGTGATTTCCATCGAATCAATTATGATCTTGTGCATAAAATTATATAACCTTCTAATTACGTAAAATAGTATTTTAATAATTAATTATAAAGCAAATGTAATAAAAAATTGCATCAATTTTAAACATTCTGCTTCAGCAAATAGAAAGAAATATAGGAAATCTTTTTTAACATCTATTTCAAACATTGTATTTCAACAAACAACAAAAAATACTAGGAAAAAAAATTCTTGCATCAGTTTCAAACTTTCTAATTCCACAAACATAGAAAAAATACAGAAAAAAATCTTTTGCATCAATTTCAAAGATTCTATTTCAACAAATAGCAAATAAAAATAGAAAAATAGCAAAAAATAAATGAAAACGAAAACTAGAAAAAAGAAAAAAACGTGAAAAAACAAGATAAAACACATACTTTCATTAATTAGCAAAAAAAGTAAAAAACCTTACCTGAGATGAGGATCAGCCATGGCAGATGAAGAAGAAGAAGAAAAAAAAAAAAAGAAAAAGAAGAACTTAACAACCGTGGATGGGAGGAGTGAGACCTCGCTAGAGTGGACGAAAAAAATGGAATAGAAGGTAAGAGAAGGGTAGGGGAGGGAAGTCGTAAACTTTACCTAAGTTGCCCGGAGAATGGGCAGACGGATATTTTCAATTGTTACACGGTTACGTTACCTCCCTTGACCTCCATTTACCTACCCCGATTTTCTCCTCCAAACAACTGAAACAAGGCAGGTTTTAATCTTACCTTGTTCTACTCCCCCGCCCTCTATCCAAACACACTGTAAGAGCAGTTTGGGGTTGTCTCTGGCTTTAGACAATATCATTCCATATTTTCTTCTACATATCAAAACACTAAGATCACCGGACTTTACATTTCTACTCTAGTTTGGCTCAATTAGCTTCAAACGTACTTAACTTTGTAATAGTATTTGGCTTATATGACATTTGAAACAATGAATTGACATCACGTTTAAGATAATAAAACAACATGCATTAAATGTCATTTAGGCTTTTTTGAGTAACTTAATAAAGATCAAAAATATTTTTATTAACAGACAATTGCACGAGGTTCAATTAAGTTTTCTTTATTAAGTTACCTAGAAAAAAAAATTTGTTAGATGTGCCATTACGTTAGATGTGTTCTGACATCAATATTTCTAATGCTATGTCAGCCAAAAAAATCCACGTAATTAAATTTGAAGCTCACTGAATCGGGCCGGAGAAGTAAATTGAAATTGATGGTTTTTTAAAGTATTGGCATGCAAAAGAAAATTTAAAAATTTTACATAGTACATCATAATCGACGAAATCTAGGAAAGCTGGTGTACATATTTCCAAATACTTACTCCATCCAAAGTAAAAGGGAAAGTTAAGTTTACATTGTTTGATTAAAATTTGTTTAAAAATAAAAATTAAATATTTAAAAATATATAAAAAAATCTACTCTGTATCAAATAAGAGATGATATGATTATATTATTATCACATCAATATTAAAAATATATAAAAAATAATTATAAAAAAAATAAAATTTAACTTTGTGAAGAGTATCTGCTACTTTTATTTTGAAAGGAATGGAGTATTAAATATGGAATGTACCACTTGAATATCAATATTCTAGTTAAATTTAATAAGATTCTAGAATGTCTAGATTCCTACTTCCAAAATATCAAACTCCAAGCTCAAGTTTTCATACTTCACTTAAAATTAAGGCAAATAAAAAAAAAGAGTAAATTCTTTAATTGGTCCTTTATAACAGGGGGGTTTTCCTATTTAGTCCTCTATTATCAAATATTACTCAAGCGGTCCTTTTTTTATGGGTACCTTTCCACAAATAGTCCTTTTTTTGATCTTCTATCATGTTGGTGTTAATTTGAGGGCTAAAAATGTAATTTCACAATGATAATATATTTTTTTGTCATACGCAATTCCAAAGGCTGTTCTGTTTGCGTCGTTTGTGAATTACAGTCGCTTTTTACGACAACTATAGTCTACAAATGTGATCTTTCGTCAGAATCCTAGCCCACAATCATAGTCATTATTTTTGTGTTATCCACTTAACCAATATCAGAACACGTCACTAGATATAATGTTGACGTCAAATTATACTTTTAGCCTTTAAATTAACATCAACATGCCAGAAGATCAAAAAAAGGATCATTTGTGGAAAAGTACCCTTAAAAAAAGGACTACGGGCTAATATTTGATAATAGAGAACTAAATATGGAAACCCCCTGTTATAAAGGACCAATTATGGAATTTATTCTAAAAAACAAAGTCATCAAAATTCCTTGAACTTGGGCCTGTTGTTGCAAAGTACACACAAGCCCAATTTCTTCAATAGTCTCTTATACAATCAATCTGCATATATTACACCACAACACCCTAGACACTCTTTGAGTCTTTGCCCAGATTCGATCATCCACGGTTCTTTCCCAAATCCAGGTAATTCATCGTCTTCTTCTCCATTCCATCTTCTTCATTCTTCGCTGCTTATAATCCCACATTCATCCAGTATTTTTCAGGAAAAAAATCAAGTCTTGTTTCAATCATAGTATTTGAAGCTCAGATTTTAGATGTTTTAGATCCGTGGTTTAAAAAAAAAAAAGAAAAAGTGATCATCTTTCAAACAACGCCGTGTATCTGTTTGTCCTGTGATTTTTCAAAGATGGGTTTTCACTCTGCAGATCTTTGCTTTCTTTTTGCGTTTCCCGATTTCATATGTTTTCCATCACTGGCTGATCCGGCTGCATAGTTCCTGTTTATTTTCTCTTTCGAATCTGTGTTTCTGTCTCTTTTCTCCAAATATCATTATTTGATGTTATCCATTGCTTTAAAAAAATCTGTTTTTTTGTATGTTTCCGTTTTTTGGTATTGGCAGTGTTATGTAAAATACCAAATCTTATATGATTTTATATATTTTAAACATTTAAGCTCAATTGATTTGTTTTGCTCAAACGATCTTCTTTGAATAGTGTTAACATGAGCTTAAGTTGAACTTATATTAAAGAAAAGAGAAGGCTGAATTGATAATTTAAGTTATTGGTGATGGTAAAATACTCCATAGAAGATTTATTTCGTATAGCTTTTGATATATATGCCGAAACTGTACAGTTCAATCTGAAGGTTTAAGATATGCTCCCTCTGTTCTGCAATCAACACACTTTCTTTTTTCGCAAGTCCCAAATAAACTTTACGGTTCTCCTATTTTCTTTTAAATGAAGTAATATGTTTCTCACAACACTTATTTTAAAATTTGGGAAGTCAAAGTCTGTTTTTTTTTGTGGGATGGATTGAATACTAGTTTTGGATCAGATTTTCTGTTAGTAGCTTGTCTGGATTCCTGCTTACGTATGCTACAAGATTTTACTGTAAATTAGTGAATTGGTTTTAATTCTTAAATAAACATATATTCCGTATAAAAGGGAAAAAATATTGTTAGAGAATTGTGACAAAAATGTCCACATATATTCAGTACCTTCAAAGCATATAAACATTGCTGCATATAGTTGTCCTTAAAGCTTTCTGCTGAAAGAATGTGGTTTCTCTAAACAACACTAATTTACTTGGTTGCCTACGACTTAGGGTGTGCTTGATTGAACTATTTAAGGCAAAGGGAGGGTTTTAATGTTACCCTGTTCAGTTTTGTTGGGAGGGGAGTGAAATGTGAACTGTGAAAGAGTTTTGAGTAACCCCTGTTTGTTTTCCAAATAGTTCTTAATGCTCCCTCCGTCCCATAAAATTATTTACACTTTCTTCCTTTGGATGTACTAAAAAAACTGTACACTTTATTCCCTATTTTGGTAATAATATGTGGCTACTGACAATTCTATATCCTCTAATCGAATTCTAACCACTAACATTATTTCTCAACTTTCTTAAACTTCGTGTAATAAAACTATCTAAGAGTTTTATGTGATGGAGGGAGTGTTATATTCAGGTCAATATTTCTGTATCCCATTTTATTATCTACTCCGTATTTTTTTTACCAAATGAAGGAAAGCCCCCCCCCCCCCGCCTTCCCTATTTTTCTTCCAATCACCTTTAATGAAACACTCTTAAAGAGTTTATTGTTCAAAATACAGAGTATAATTTAATTTCATGTACTGGCCAAGAACAAACATTTGATTTCATATTCGCATATCAAATTCCTGTCTAAGAAACTCAGAATTTATTAGCAATCAGTATGCATCTTTACTGCCTGATCCGTTTTATATGTACCTTTAGGGCTCGATCCGATCTCTGATAATAGTAGAACAGATAGTAAGAATGAAAACATAGAGCAAAATTGCAAAATGAGTTATAGGCTTAAATTCAAAACAAAATAGTTTTGATATATCATACACTCGGTATGTTTAAACTCTCGCATTTAATTATGTTTATAAAAAAACTAAACAAAAATCATATTCTTCCATTTGATTTTTCTTTTACAATTTCCAATGTAAAATCAAAAGGAGGAGCATTTTTCTCCACTCTCAAGCATTTTATTTGATCCTAACATACCCTTACTGAGTAGTACTGAGTAATTATTTCTATTCTTGTGTTTCTATATCATTGAAATTTATGTGCTTTTTGTTTTTCATCAATCTCCTACTTGAATCAATAATGCCAAAAATGGGTCAGGTCGCCTTTGTTGGTGAGCACCAAGGGGTCGTTTCTTCACAATGGCAGACAGTCAAGTAGAGCATGACAAGAACATTGAGATATGGAAAATGAAGAAACTAATCAAAGCGCTAGAGTCTGCAAGAGGAAATGGAACCAGCATGATCTCCCTCATCATACCACCTGGTGACCAAATATCCCGAATCACCAAGATGTTGGCAGAAGAGTATGGAACTGCATCAAACATCAAAAGCAGAGTGAACCGTCAATCTGTTCTTGGTGCAATAACATCTGCCCAGCAAAGACTCAAACTTTATAACAAAGTCCCCCCAAATGGTCTCGTCCTCTACACTGGAACCATCATCACAGATGATGGCAAAGAAAAGAAAGTCACTTTTGACTTTGCACCTTTTAAGCCCATAAATGCTTCTTTGTACCTTTGTGACAATAAGTTCCACACCGAGCCTCTTGGCGAACTCCTGGAATCTGATGAAAAGTTTGGGTTCATTGTCATGGACGGGAACGGGACCCTATTTGGGACATTAAGTGGGAACACGAGAGAAGTTCTTCACAAGTTTACTGTGGATCTCCCAAAGAAGCACGGAAGAGGAGGGCAATCCGCTCTTAGGTTTGCTCGTCTTCGGATGGAGAAACGGCATAATTATGTCAGGAAAGCAGCAGAACTTGCCACACAGTTCTTTATAAACCCTGCAACAAGCCAGCCGAATGTGGCCGGATTGATTCTTGCCGGATCTGCCGATTTCAAGACCGAACTAAGTCAATCAGATATGTTTGACCCTCGATTACAAGCTAAGATCCTTAATGTGGCTGATGTGTCTTATGGTGGGGAGAACGGGTTCAACCAGGCCATCGAGTTATCTGCTGAGATTCTGTCAAATGTGAAGTTCATACAGGAAAAGAAACTGATTGGGAAGTTCTTTGAGGAAATTAGTCAAGACACCGGTAAGTACGTGTTTGGCGTGGACGACACAATAAAAGCACTTGAGATGGGAGCAGTTGAAACACTTATTGTTTGGGAAAATCTCGATATTAACCGTTATGTGTTGAAAAACAGCGTGAACAGTGAGATAGTCGTCAAACACTTGAACAAGGAGCAAGAGTCTAACCATAGCAACTTCAAGGATGCTGCCACGTCTGGCGAGCTGGAGGTTCAAGACAAAATGCCACTTCTTGAGTGGTTTGCCAATGAGTATAGGAATTTTGGTTGCGCTCTAGAATTCGTCACCAATAAGTCCCAAGAGGGGTCCCAGTTTTGTAGAGGGTTTGGTGGGATCGGTGGAGTCCTTCGTTACCAGCTCGACATGCGCGACTTTGATGAACCCTCTGATGAAGGTGAAACGTTTGGTGACTCTGATTAAGCTTCTTGATTCAGAATGATGAGATATTCTCTAGCTTTGATGTCAAGAGTCAAACACTGAGTGTGTTTCCTCTTTTGTGCTGTAATTTCTTCTTTTTTTTCAGCCCCATCCATGACAAGGAATTTAGTCATCTTGTGTGATTTTTCATCCTTTTTTCATAGCCCATTAGGTATTTATCATACTATAAATTGCTGCCTTATGGCTTTATGACATTCTATTCTCTCATAGTCATTGTACTTCATTCCGTGGATTGTGGTGGAGACAAGAGTTTTGAGTTTTGTTTTGCTATTCACTGACAAGAAAAACCAACTCTACACAAATGTATGTCTCAAGGTGCTGTTTTGTTTCTCCCCAGACCCTACTCTTGTGGGATTTTACTGGGTTTGTTGTCGTTTCTTTTATGCTTTCACATCGCCATGGTAAAGCATGTTGATCTGAAATCATTTCCGTATCGAGTTTACATGTTATTCTGGAATGGAAGTATTCCAGCTACCAAACATGGTGATGAAATGCAGCAGGTCTACTTCAGTTTTGGTGACCTGCAGGTGGTCCAGATGAATGATGAGACATAAGAACAGATGTGGATGGTTCTTGGGTACATGGAAGTGAGAAGGATGGTGATGTAACAGTGGAAAAAAAGATTGGGAAACAGTGGCATTAGCTAACACTGGCCATTTCTCAGTGCATGTGGAGTGAGTAATTAAGGTACAACTATTCACATACACTGTTATGATGCTTTCATATGAATGAAATTCAGTGGTTCCACTCTGATGCTTTCTTGCTCCCATGTGGTCTTTCCTCTTTCCACATTTGGCTCATCTTCAATGACTATGTTGGGATCCAGCCAAGTATGGGTGGATAGTTATTAGGACTAATCTCTTCCTTCGATTCCGTAATTAGTGATGTACTTATGCTTAGACCACCGAGGCCCGAAGATCTAGCCCACGTGAAATGGGTTGGGCTAACTCGGGTTGGATTTAAGGTAGAGACTAGGGTTAGCACACAAGTGAACAGCCTCCGTGATTCTCCTCCACGTCCCCACGGTTCACATGTCCTCCCGGAATGTGGGAGGAAGTCTCATTACGGTTGAGTAAAATTTTATTACCATAATAAGCACACCCTCACGAATGGGATGGAGGGATTGAGAGAAGAAAACATGTCCTCACCATTGGGAAATTCGTATATTCTGTACGCGCGTAATTTCAAGAAATGATAGAAAATTTCAACCTTGGGTCTCAAATTTCTTGGGAAAATTTTCCAAGAAAATTCCTCGCCATGTTTTATGAGAGAGTGACAAAACATTCAAACTAAAGACGTACATATTACAACGAGAAGCAAAATTGTAATTTACAAACATTTCTTAGTGCTAGCTTACCATCCTCTTTCTTTCATTAATTTATACACAAAAATATACACAAATCACAACAAAAACACAACAAGAAAATCATATATAGCAAACTATTTCTTAAAGTACATGCATATATGCATGTTCAATATCCTTGTTCCTCCTCAATCTCCATGTGACCACCTAGAGAAGAAGACAAAGGTGAAGAAAGAGCAGAAGAATATGAACTATTACTTAATAACAACAAAGAGTTATCATCACAAGAGCAATAACTCTTAGCATAGAGCTCAACAAGCAAATCCACAAAGGCCCCAAGAATGTACCCATGATTTCCATCCACATTCATCTTCAAATACCAACCAAGAAGCTCTTGAAGCCACTCCCATTTCTTCAACTTCTTCCCCTCTTCATCATCACCATCAATTATATAGCACTCCACCATTTCTTGCATTGACCTCTTGAAGTCCCTATATGGGTCCTTTGTTTCCATTGCCACAACCACACCCTCCTTGAATGGGCTCCTCTCTTCTTCTTCTTCTCCCTTTTGTCCTTCACTCATTTTCTCCTTTGCCTCTTCCACACATGGCTGCAAATTGGATGACCCAAAAACATTTTATAAACTATTTATATTTGTGTGCCACATCCTTGGTCATTCTTGACGTTAAAGTAACATTACTCTGTCTCTAAAAACATTTTTCACTTTGACTTTCTAAGAATTTAAGGGTCCGGGGGATATTCTTTAAAAAAAAGGGAGTACCTCTCTCCCCTTAAAATAAAGGGAAATGCTTGGTTTACAAACACAATGGGCACAAACTTCACAAATTTATTATTTGTGAACTTTTATAAAAAAAATTAAATAGTCTAAAAAAATTAAAATGAATATTTAAACCATAAAAAGTAAGTTTGTGATATTTGTGACCATTATATTTGTGAACCTAGCATTGCTTTAAAATAAATAAGAACCTAAAGAGTGTATTAAAAGGGATATATATGACTTGCATTAATAGATAGAAAAATGTGTAGTTGAATTTTGTGCAACAATATAGGGGGATTTTTTATAGGGCGAATAAAGAATAAAATATACTACGTAGAACTTATTGAGGTTGTGCACTATATTGGTAGCTATATTTCTGAAAAACATTATAATTTATAAATAGTAGCAGAAAGCGAATAATCTTATATATTAGTTTTCTATAATTAAAAGCATTTTAAGCATATTTTAGACTTTTGAACAGATTGCCAAACACACTAAATTGTATTATAATAAAGCAGAAACTCAAAAGCAATTTTTGAACACACTCATATACGCCCTCCTATAGAAGGGAGAGAATACCAAATGTGTTGGTGTTCTTAATGTCATGGATATTTAATATAATTGAATTTACCTAAGTTCAGACAAAAATTTTAAGAGATGTTAATATAAGTTTGGAGGTCTAAAAAGGGAAACACTCGGTAGCATGGTGGAAGTAGCGGCAGTCCCTGGCGGGGTCTAATATAATTATATAAGGGGTAAACCAAACCCATGGTCGGTTGAGCAACTTTATTTAAATAATTGTTGCTTAATGAAACCTTTGAATTTCCATAAGGGTCCGTTTGGTATACGGAATTAATGGAATTGGAATTGAATTGGAATTGAAATTCTATGGAATTCAATTCCATAGAATTAAATTCACCAATCCCAATTTATTTTTTGCACTATCAATTCCAAATCTACATACTTTTGTGATACCAAACATCATAATCGGAATTGAAGTCCTCAATTCCAATTCCATAATTTTATTCCGTGTACCAAATGGGGCTAAATGAAATCCAAAATGGTGAAGGAAACCAAATATTTGAATAGTATTAACTTTTACAAAAAGTATTCGTACACTATAATAATTAGTATTGAAATGTCTTTAAATTCTAGATGATTTTGGTCATGTTCTCTTCACCTAATCTGATTGGAATAAATTTTGTTTTGATCTAGTATGATCTGATTCTAATAAGAATAAGTAAAAAAAATGATATATAGAATTCGAATGCAAGTTTAACATTTGAATACTTTTGGACACAGAAAAGGCTCAGGCCCCGTTTGGTACACGGAATTCAAATTATGGAATTGGAATTGAGGACTTCAATTCCAATTCTCGTGTTTGGTAGCACAAAAATTATGTGGATTTGGAATTGGTAGTGCAAAAAATGAATTGGAATTGGTGAATTCAATTCTATGGAATTGAATCCCATGGAATTTTAATTCCAATTCAATTCCAATTCCATCAATTTCATGTACCAAACGGACCCTCATAGTATTGAGTACTGCAATGTGATATTCTTAGTGTTCTGAATCATTGAATGGTTTGTTGCCCAAAAATATTATGCTCAATCTGTCCCAAAAAAAACTATTTAAAACAAACTTTAAGAAAAGTAAAATTGTGTGATTGAAAGTGATGCAAAAGAAAGAGAAAAATATTTGGCCACACAAAATTTGTTAAAAATGGAAAGAAGAATCTTTTTTTCGGGATGTCCTGAAAAAAATGAAGAATTTTTTAGAACAAAGGGAGTAGTATTGAGATACTACGGAATACTATGTAGTATAAAAATATTACACATAGAGTTATGTTTGGTCAAATTTTCTCAGTATGAATCACACACAAGACGTATAACTAAATATGTTTTTCTTATAATTTATGGTCAAAGTTAGCATAGAAACCACACTAAGACAACTAATTTAGGACGTAGGAAGTACATACGGAGTATATCTTATTCGATTGAAATATTTCCAAAATGACAATTTTTCTGTGGTCTTATGAACCTTAATACATTGATATAGTAAAAAAATTGAGTCTTTGGCAAAAATTAAAAAATTCCACTTCCTAGCCATAAAAAAAGAGAAAATACACTTTTTATATGCGAACGTTATCCGGTCATTTTTTCAAGTTTTCATTAAGGGTCTGTTTGGTATACGGAATTGACAGAATTGGAATTGAAATTCCAGTGGATTCAATTCCATAAAATTGAATTCTACCAATTCCAATTCATTTTTTACACTATCAATTTCAAATCCACATAATTTTTGTACTACCAAACACGAGAATTGGAATTGAGGTCCTCAATTCCAATTCCATAATTTGAATTCCGTGTACCAAACGGGGCCTAAATATTTCTAACTCTGTTAGGCACAGAATTCACAACAAAAATGGGCTCTAAAATTACCACATTAAAGTATATCCTCCGTCTCTCTCATCTCGATAATTTTTGTTTATTTGTATATTTTTATTGATTATTTTATAAAATAAAGAGCTCGCGTGACGCGTCACTTCTTGTTTTGTAAAACTTTTGACTTTTTTTAATATGTAAATTTTTTTATTGATTTACTAATTTAGAAATAAAATGGTTTCAAAAGTCGTGTAATTTTACCTCGTAAATCTCAACTTCTAATCCAAATGGGGGTGGAGGGAGTATATTATTATGAAGAATTTACTTAAATAGTACTAAAACATAATGACTTTCTCTAAATATCACTGCATGTGTTTTTCTTCCCAATGTAGCACTTTTAGTCATTATGCATTAGTCATTATTCAAGTAAATATTTTTCATCACCGGACATTATTAAGTGCTATTTAGGAAATAAAATAGTTGAAATGCTATTTGACTTGAGTTTTAGAGCTATTTAGTGCAAATATTTCATACGGAGTATTATTATACCTGGACGAATAAGGAACTGGTGGCGCATTCTCCGGGCTCCTCGAAGAACAGCCGGTCCGACGACCTCATCACCACTTCCCGTATGATCGTCTCCTCCGACGACGACGACCGATCACCGCCCTCCTCCTCCTCCTCGGACGATGCCGTGAAGCAGCGCGACTCGCCGGAGGAGGGGCCGAACTCGGCGGGTCCCCGGAAAGAAAGCGTCTTTGTCGCCTGAACGCAGGCAGGGCGCCGCCATTGCAGCAGCAGCTCTCTGTTCTTGAAAATGGAAGGGAAGTAGCCCATGGAAAGAAAAGAAAAGAAGATTGACCAATTGTTCAGGCAGCACTGAGAAATATATATAAGGGAGTGTTTGCAGAAGAGCGGAAACCTGCGAGATTTCTGTTGGCTGATTGGGAGGAGGCGGAGGAGATGCTTTAATGGCGATCAGAGGGGGAAAATGGGGGAGGAGATATAAATTGAGGATCGGAGGAGGGAGGTGAGAAGGTGTGGAACCTTTTATGGGTTGGTCGGACCGCTCATCCTCTTGTATTTAATTCTTAGTTTGAATTTTTTACCACATTTTTACTACCCTTTTATTTATTTATTTATTTATATATTTATTTTTTTTGGAAAAACCAACAATGGGCCTTTTAAGTGAACTTTTAACATTTAGAGCACTAGAAATACTCGTGAAGTCTGGAGCTTTAAATTTAGATTTCAAAATTTTTATCTCTGTCACGTCATTTTTAACTTACCTCCATGTTTCACTAGAAATGGGTTTGAAGCCCCGAGACTTTAAATTGGGACTTCAAACCTTTATTTTTTTATATTTTGAATACATATTTTGTAAAATTAAATTAATAATATTTTATTAATTAAATGAATTTAAACGATAATAATTCATTAATTAAAAATTACATTATTAATAAAATAAATATTTGAATAATAATAATAATAATAATATAAATAAAAAAATTAAAAATGACATTACATTACGAAGAAATTGATGATTATTTGAGCGGCTAAATATATGTTCAGTCAAATCCATCGTTAGTGCATTGTGAATCTCTTGGCTTCGAATTTCTTGGTCGTCTCTTCGTTTCTTTTCTTCGTCGATTTCTTCGTACGTAGACACCTCTTCGTCTGAGTTGTAATGACAAATTACAAACCTGATGTCCTCTATGATCATATTATGAAAAATAATACATGCGTATATAGTATTCCTCGTTTTCGTTTAAGAATAACACTTGGACGGACGACCTAAAATGTGCTACTTACCCTTCAACACCCTCAAGGCTCGTTCGATATTTTTTCTCGCCACCTCATGAGCTTTTTTGTAAGCATGACGTTTAAGAGGTATTGGTTCAAAGAGGGATTTCACAACTATGGAATAATCTAGATATATTCCATCGACAAGATAATATCCACGCTTGTAAAGTATCCCTCTAAGCTCAAAACACAAGTTGTGTGCAATCTCATATATTAATCTAATCGTCAAAAAACGGTCGATTGAGCAAGAACATTGATGTTGTTGTTCGAGCCCACAACGCCATAAAAAACATGCCAGAACCATAAATCATTTGAATCCATAACTTCGAGCATAATAGTAGGCTTGGGATAATAGCTCCGGGAGAACATACCATGCCTTGAAGTGGAACAATTTTTCCATTCCTAATGCATGTATTCGATGCTTCCAGGCATGCCGGCAAAGCCATGTTTAGTGGCATGCCTTGTCTGTAACTGCTCAATGTTGCTCGTTGTAGGTTTACATAAATAACTTTTATGATAAAATTGAATAATAACTCTAGAAAATTTATAAACACGTGACCTGATGCTCCGATCCGACATCTTCAAGTATTCATCGAACATATCACTAGCTGTCTCGAACGCCATCTGATTGAAGCGCGGTGATGCACTTCTGGATGCTGCTAAAATCGCGTCGGCCTTTTGCATTAAAGCGTTGGATGAATATATTTTTTCCATAATTTACTGTAAAAGATATCATACTTAATTTATATGATTCTAACCCATATTACAAATACAATAGATGGAGAGAACACTATTTTTTATAATTCTAATGAAAAGAAAAATTGACGAAAACAACTTGACGTCTTTATGCACTAAAATAATCACAAATTTTGTTGTGTCTTACAATGACCTAGAAAAAAATCAACATTTTTATCTTGAAAAGATAATTACATCGTTACATTATGAAAAAATAAAGACACTCAAATAAATATGTAGACTAACCAAATTAGGATTTTCAAAAAATTTTCTTTGCCTCCGTTTGATAGTACACATATTGCAACTTTGGATGTGCAATGTAATTACGGAGTGTATACTTATCTTATAAATTTAGAAGTTACAGAGTCATCATTTCACATTTTCATTTGGTTAAAATATCATACTCTCCGGCTTTTCGATAACTCTTATTTGTTTGCGTGTTTTCATTGATCATTTGATAAAATAAAATATTCTTATCACCTCTTATTTTGTAGAGTTTTCGGTTTAGTTTTTAAATATAATTTTTTATGTGTTATTTCCTTAACAATTTGCAAATAAAAATATTTTAAAATCCACGGAGTTTTGCACATTAATCAAAGTAGGAAATTCCTTTTGAGACGGAGGGAGTATGAAACAATATATTTTACCATATTTATTTCATCATTATTGTGTTTTTTATTTTATTGATAAACAATAAAAAAATAGTAAATCACAACGCATCATAAATTTATGGTGTGCATAACAAAAAAAAGTCACTCAAATAAATACTCCAGGTAAAAACCAAATTAAGATAGAAAAATTTATGTTTTCAAATCAAATTGGACGTCAAATGCTCTCAATTTGTATCATATATTAATATAATGAATTCAAATTTTGAAAATTATTTACATAATGAAAAATTTTTTATATTAATACACATTACAATTTTTATGTAATACTCCCTCCGTCCCTAAATAGATTACAATTTTTTTTCTCTCTTCTCGATAATTTTTGTTTGTTTACACGATTTTATTAAGTATTTGATAAAATAAAATATTCTTGTCACCTCTTGTTTTGTAGTATTTTTGACGTAGTTTTTTAATATGTAATTTTTATATCTTATTGATATACCAATTTGTAAATAAAATGATTTCAAAAAGTAGGAAATTTTACTTCGTAACCCGCAATTTGTAATCAAATTGGGGAGAGAGTATTCAAAATTAAGTTTAACTAAAAAATTTGATCTTGGTGTTAAGGATTGCCATTGGCTTTCCATTTCTACCTTTTATTCGCAGCTGTTTGTCATTAGATTCTGGATTCTAATTGAAACACCGGTGTCGGCGAAGGAACAAGGCGGAGAAGAACATGTATCATCCGTCTAGAGGCGGCGTTCGCGGTGGTCGCGACCGTAAGCTCGCCATTCTCTCGTTTTTTAGTATCGCATTTCTAGGGTTTCGTTTCGCACAAGTATTATGTACGGGGTAACTACTAATCTATGTTGAAATACTTGTAAGAAATTCATAAATTTCTTGACTTTACCTGTTAATTTATTGTTTTCCGATTCGTTGTTTTGATGAATTAAGTGGAATTTGGGGATTTTTTAAAAGAAATTGTAAATATGTTGTAATTGTGATGTTTTCAGGTTTTAAGGCAAAGCTTTTACACACTTCAACTAAGATCTGCTAAATTGACTGTTCTTCTCATTAGACCATTATTTGATGTTAGAATCTCTTCACATGGTTCCATGAATGTGGTTAGAAAGTCCATTCTTTAATATTAGGATTAATCTAGGTGAAAATTATTACATAGAAAAATGGGTTAACTGTGAAAGATGTATGAATGTTATCAATTATGTGTTATATTCCCGGTTGTATCTCCTCATAAGTCATCACAGGGCAACCTGGAGATGGATGGAACAGCCGAGATTCACTTCTGCTCTTCCCTATGATGGATGCAGCAGAACTGAAAGTTCAAAAAAGAAAGAACAACAAATATTGAGCGATTTTAATTTGAGTTCTCACTAACTCCCTTTTGACAAATTCAACTTGTCATTGGACTGGTTACATACATCAATTGCTGAATAAGTACCCATAATGTAGAATAAATAAGGAAGATAAGTCATACTGGGTATTAAAAATGACAAAGGAATGTAGTTACTTGTGTCCCAATTCTTAACAACAGCAGTTTATGATTCCATTTCCTCTTGATTTTCATCCTTCTCCCTACGTCCGGATATCTTGTATTTGGAACATGTGAATATATCATAACGTAATAGTAGTAGCAAACTAGTAATTGTAAATATGGCCCGGTTCCATTGCCACTGGGGCTTTTTGGAGCACCACTAGTGCTCCATTCACAAAATAGATAGTTTTACCCCCGGCAAACTGCCCCATGTCGCCCCGACCCGAACCCGCCCCCATCCCCGTTAATTAGACTCCCCAAGTTTAGAGTCAATTTTTTTAAATCTCAAAGTCAACTAAACTTGGGGGTCTAATTGACAGGGGGTGTGGGTGGGTTGGGTCAGGCTGGGGTGGGGGGTTTACCGGGGGGAGAAACCATTAATTTTGCGAAGAAAACACCGGAGGTGCTCCAAAAATTCAGTTGAAAGGGAACCGAGCCCTTGTAAATAAGGGGTGGACATAACAGGAGGCCTAGGGAGTAGCTCCAGATATGTTTTTTCACCTCTCTGGTGTGGCACGTATTCAAATTTCTGTATTTTGTGCAGAGTTTAGCTGGGATGATGTAAAAGCGGATAAGCATCGTGAGAATTATATTGGACACAGTGTCAATGCTCCAGTTGGAAGATGGCAGAAAGGTATTACTGTGTTCTTAACTTCATGCTTATACACAACAGAGAAACTGCTTCTGATGCATGATATTCTAATTGCGATGATGTTAAACCCGTGTTTTTTAGTTTGTTACCTCTCTTTTAATTGTCACTCCCTCTATCCAAAAAAGAACTATTTGTTTCCTCGAGGTACAAACTTTAATATTTGGTAAGGCGCAATGGATGTAAAATAATCATTCCTCATATTTATATTTTAAATTAAATTTCACAAATTTATTTTGTTTGGAACACTTCCTTTTTTGGAAGGAATACATTCAAGTCCAATGAAAATTAGCTTCTTTTATTGAAATAAGACTCCTTTTAGGACAAAATCAAGTTGTGGAGCCAAACTCTTTTTTGGGATGGATGGGGTATTACATTCAATTGATTCCTCTTACCTTTGACCAATATTATGCAGGCAAAGATCTTTTTTGGTATGCACGTGACAAGAAATCTCTACAAATGGATCCAGATGCAGCAAAAGAAGAGATAAGACGGATCAAAGAGGAGGAGGAGAAAGCCATGCTGGAGGCTTTAGGATTAGCTCCCAAACGTGCTGCCCAACATCAAGGTAACAGGCTAGACAAGCATGAGTTCTCTGAGCTGGTGAAACGAGGCTCTACGGCAGATGACCTGGGAGCAGGCCATGCTGAAGCTGCTCATGTTCAAGGCCTTGGGTTTTCAAGGTAAGATCAGGGAGCTTATACATGTTTATTGATAAGAAAGCTGGTTGATTGTATATGTCACTGGTCTTCCCTATTTTCTTTCATTATGTGACCTAATTCAATCGGCTCTCTCAATTAAGTGCCTGTTTGGGTGGCTTCATTTTAGGCTTATCACACCAATACCGTGTTTTCACCAAACCCCATTCCCCTTTGAAAGGGAATGAGTAATGGGGAAGGGGAATACCTAGATTCCTTGCATTTGAGGGGGTTTGCTTGGTTCCACAAAAGTGAGAATTCAAAATTACTCTCCACCTTTCACTCCTTGATCCTTGCCAGTTGGCACCACTCCTATTATTCTTTCTGTTCTCTCAGACCTTCCAATCATGCACCCCCCCCCCCTGAATTCCAGTGTTTTGGCGCAATTAGTTGATAACAAAAATAAGCTGTGTGTGTGTGTGTTGTTATTATTGGAATATTAATAGTCTGTATTATTTTGGCAGAAATGGCACACTTCTAGCTTTATTTTTATGAGTGATTTTAATGAGATATAGACACTAGTTCAGCAACTTCAATAGAATAAGCTAATTTAGCCATTTTAAGTCTTAACTGAAGAGCTTGAAACTAGTGCTTTTTAGAAAATCTGGGCTAGTAGCAGTTAAAGACAAACCACTCAATTTTTCGGAACTGTGCAGAGGGCATCAGCCATGGAAGGAATCATCAAGTTCTGGGCCTATTGTGTCATCTAGCGAGATGCGGGAGCCTTCTGAGACCAGAATCGGGCCCAAGCTGGAGGAATCCATAACGAAGGAGGAAGAACGGTCAAAAGATGAAAGAAGCCAAAAGAAGAGACATCATGAAGATAAGAAACGGGAGAAGCATGACAGGCACGAGAAACGACATTCCCGTAACTCAGATGGTGAAAGGAAAAGACATAGGAGGGACAAGGAGAAGAGAAGACATGATTCTGATTAAGTTGCCTTTGACGTGTATGTATAAAGTCAATATCAAAACATTCCTACGGAGAAACCAAACATTCCTACGAGTACATTATGTGTGTTTTATGGTATTTTGATTACGCTTCTCAAGTTCCGGAATTCAAAATATTTTGAGTTGAATTGTTTTTCTTATCGCCTTAGCATTATGGTTGATGAGGAGGTCTAGACATTCATGTTTTCTTGAACGGTTGGACGTAAAGTAACACAGCGAGAAGTTGGTGTGAAGACAACTACTCAGTAAATTGAATTTGAATTTCTTCTCATGTTGATGGTGTACAGATTATCTGTATTCAAGTTTTAGGGAATGAAAATTCACAAGTGATATGGTTTGGTTTGTCATCTTGTTGGTTTTTATGTTTTTAGCTTTGATTTTTGTAAAGCTCTGTGGAAGTTCAGATTCCAGAAATCTGGCAAGTCACACAAGAAGTACCATACTTGACTATAAGTTTATTCCATATGTGAGTGAAAACCCTAAAGCATGTTGGGGCCTTGCATTTAGCACCTAAAAAACCATTGGGAACCTTAACATCCGCAACTGTTTTCTAATACCCATATGATCTTGCGCAAAGACAAGCCCACTTAGAAGTGTCTTTGGCAACAATTTTAGTGTTTTGAAAAGTCCGCTTAATGAAAAGGTTTAGTTTTATCATATTTAAAGTTAATTTGCATAATTGAAAAAATAACTAAAAAATTGAAAACGAGGCAGGAGATGCCTTTCCATTCATGTACTTGGAAAATGTCAAAAAAATTATATGTAAACCACTTGCATGATTAAATTACATATATTACCTTTCTTGTCTATTTTCTTTATTAATGATTGAAAATAGACTTTCCATTCATGTACTTGGAAATGCTTTTGCTCTTATTCATGGTGCCTAATTTCCTTCTCACGACAAAAGGGACGCATCGATCACTTGAAAAAAAGATCAGAGAACAGCAACCATAGCGAGGCTCCTAACGAGGTGTGATGTTGATCCGTTCCGACAAAGTATAAATAGCTCATCAAAGTTTGACCCGCAATAAGAGATTGAGCAATTTATACATTATCCATAACCAAAAATGACTCATAATGCAGGTCTTGAGGAAAAAAAGTAGAAGGAATCAAAGAAGCATATATGAGTACTAAACTTAAAGCTAGTTCAAAGTCGTTCCGAGTATTGCACAAATGTGTAACCAAACTACACCATGCCACATGGATGTGTTAGTAAGTGCACCATGACTCCATGAACCATATAAAAAGATGAAAATCCATTGTCACCAAGCACATAGTAATCAAACATATCTCAATCTCGAATTTCGTTACTGGTTCTGCATAAATTGCTTAAGAGTACTAGAGATATCTCTGCAAAGAAGCACAATTGGTAGATAGAAATTGACACAATTGCATTGGTAGCCAATAGCTATGATCTGGCAACCGGTTCCAGTGCTTCGATTGTAACAACGCTGTTTCCCCGAATAACCTGAAATAGTGGTATTGTATTGATTAGGAAACAGTAGTTGAGTACTCTTACTACCTCCATCCCAAAGTAAAAGACACATTCCGTTTACGATGGCAGACTGAAATTATTTTCAATTCAACTTATTTTAAAGTCGATATAAAAATAAATACTTTAAAAGTTACTATATAGATTTAAATACTACACCAGAAGTTATACAACACAGGGAGTGATATGAGTCTTAGGGTCCGTTCCGTATGACTTATTTTTTTCTACTTATTACTTATTCTTTTTAAAATCAAATCAGACCAGACCTAATCAGATCAGATCCAATCAGATCAGATCAGACTCAATCAGATTAGATCAGATCTAATCAGATCAGACGAGATCCAATCAGATCAGATCAGATCCAATCAGATCAGACCAGATCCAATAAGATCAGATCAGATCAAATCCAATAATATGAAATCAAGAAAAAATAAAAAAAATAATATTTATATTTTTCAAGGATTAAATAATAATTACTATTATTTGATTTAATCACATTACTTTATTTAAAACTACACAAACCTAAATCTTAATTAATATTATAATTTTAATTATTATTGTTGTTATATTATTATGCATGGAAACAATGTTAAAGCTTAAAAAGTTATATTTTTCATATTTTAAAAAGAGTTATTTTAAAATACTTGTTTATAAAATAATTATACAAAACTTAGTTTTCAAAACCATACATATTTTATACTTAAAAAGACAAAATTGATAGAGGTGAAAGGGATATTAGTGTTTAAAATTTTATATGATTTTTAATTTGTAACATGATATATATTATTATGTAATATGCATATAGAGTGTTTTTTTGTAGAATAGCATCAATATTTTCTAATATTTAGATTTGAAAAAAATTAAAAAAAGTTTAAACATATCAATGATTAGTTGATTTTCTTATTTTACTTTTTTTTATGTATATAAGAATTTTAATACTTTAAAACTATTAAATTTGGTAATAATTTTAATTTTAATTTAAATCAAATTTAAATTTATTAACACCAAATCTAATTAGATAAAATCAGATCAGATCAGGTCCAATCAGATCAGATTCAATCAGATCAGATCAGACCCAATCAGATCAGATCAGAGCCAATCAGATCAGATCATACCCAACCAGATCAGATCAAATTTAATCAGATCAGATCAGACTCAATCAGATCAGATCAGATTCAATCAGATCAGGCGTACGGAACAGAGCCTTATTTGGTCAAATTATTGATGAAGTATGTAAATAAAGAAGATATAGTTTGACTTTTGGTGTCTTTTTACTTTTATTTGGAAGGTCGAGAGTACATGGTTTCACGATGTGTTAATGCTTTTTATTATAATTACTAATTCATAACCTTAATGAAGATGATAATGCTCTATTCATTACAATTATCCAAAACATGAATGAGAGTAGAGAAAGGTGATCACTAACCACAGTGCCAATTTCATTCTTGTCATTGCCATTAATTTCCTCAGTGCTATCAATGACCAAATTCATGAACTGATCAAACCCACGAAGCGTCCCAACAACCATGCGATTGGCATTCAATTTAACTGCAAAACAATGTGAAATGGATACAAAAAAGTTGATATAGGTGATACAGAGGTACTGATGTGCCTTAAGTCTTTAAGCATACATATAAAACGAATTCCATTAAGCATTAGGGACAAAGCTTGCAACGAGCTAAAATCATTAATGCACTGCTTGTGCAACAAATTAAGAAACATATATATCATAAAGGTCAAAACAAGTCAGATGCTCATACTTGTGCCTACATAGTCTTAGATTTTACGTTGCCGTTTGCTTTGTGGGGGGGGGTGTCATGTCGGTATTCTTAAGATGGACTATCCATCATCTTTAATTCAATATATACTACATTTCCTAAACAGGGTTTATTTTTTAAATAAAATCCATGCATTAATAATGTGAATGCATTGTGATCATTACTTTAAAATATTCTATCCTAAAACCATGGAAACAATCCAAGATTAATAATTAAGAGAACCTTTTAGGCATGGTAAGGTCTGTATACACCCACCATCTCAGGCCCTTTCACAAGTTTTGGGAGGTCAATGTTGTAAATAAGAGAAAGGAAAAAACGCATTAGCAGCGGCACAATTGACATTACAAAAACTGTAAATTATTGTGAAAGAGTGCTTTTGAACCCAAAACATATAAAATTTCAAGAATTTGGGTCGTGACAAACAATAGGTCTCCACAATAAAATAAAAACAATCAAGTTGACCCCTACCACAATGTTTTGTTCAAAGAACAGAAAAGAACGGAAAATAGTGAGGAAAATCAATTTTGAGGTTTGGATATGAAGGAACAGAAAAATATAATTGGGAAGGAAGAGAAAAGGATAATGTAGAGTAAAATCGAAAAAATCATTTCCATCTTTGTGAAGAAAATGAGAGAAAACAGCAAACTCCACTCTCCCTTCCTCTCCCTCTTCTCCCCCCAGCCCCCGTCCTCCAGCGCCCCGCCCCCACCCCGCCGTCCCCCCTCTTTGAACAATGTCCAAACAAAGAAGTTATTGAAAAATAATTTGCTCACCAATTTCTCTTCTAACTAACTAGACAAGATTAAGATTTTTAAGTTTGTTTGACTTTCTATTCCTTTCCTGAGCATTTTATTTTCTTCCCGAATTCCTCAAATCAAATCAAACATAGTGTAAACCACAAAAGTTGAAAAACCCTAACCACATAATTTAACAAAAAATACGCCATGTTTCAGAGAAATATGAAGAGAACCAACATACTCTGAAGTTTCTTGTCCATGTACCTGCAGAATTCGCGAAAGACATTAGAACAACGCATTCAATTCGAATTCGAAAACACAACAAAAATCAACTCCAGGACGCATTAATAACAAAAAAAACAGAGCGAAGAAGAAAGAGGACTCACTTCTTGAGATCTGGCGGCTGCCCGGACCTACTCATGGCGGCTGCTGCTGCGCTTCCTGTTCTTCGTCTCAGTAAGGGGGAAGGAGAAGTGTAGGGAGATCAGGCTTTGTTCCTTCGTCGCCTGCGATCGTCGATCGTTTAGACTTTATATCATCCTTCGGGGCCCATTCAGATCCGGCCCATTCTTTTTCTGTGATAAGGCCCGATGCGAGCCTATGGATCCTATGGGTTTGAACATGGGCAAGATTTTCTCACCAATTTTTTTTTAAATCAAGATTCAAGACCTTGTATGGTTTGATAAGTGTATCATTATCTCTAATGATTTTAAAACTTATACTGCTGTTTTTTGAGGTTCTGATATTGCTATGACAATATCATTTTAGATTAAAATATCCTTCAAATATTAGGTTAATTGTTTCGCTGCCCACTACGGTTTTAAAAATGGGCATCAACGCCCCCTCTCTTTTTTCTTTATTGTTTTCCTTTTTCTACTATTTTTTCATAATTTTTTTTAATTTTTTTATACAATTATTTTTTATAATGTTTTTAAATCAAAATATTTTGTGTTTCCAATAAAAATCAATTAATTAAAAATAATTAACGTACACCTCATTTGTCTCTAATTAAATATTTTCATTTTTTATCGAAAAGAGGTCTTTATTGATTTATTTTCATAAGAAGTAATTAACAAAATGGATGAAGATTGAACATTAAAGTATTAAACTATTGAAATAAAAAGAATTGTTGAAGAGTACAATAAGCAATTTGTTTATTATTTAAAAACACTACTTTTATCTTTGATGTTTGTCCAATTTAATTTTTTTAGTCTCAAAATTGATAAGCTTTGGCCAATAATTGAATAAACTTGGCATTAAAAATTGATACAAAAGTAATTTTATTATATTTATTTTATAATATGTTCTCAAAATATTAATTTATCTAATTAATATACTTTATAATTTTTGTTTAACTAAAAGTCAAAAATTGAAAGAGGTTGATTACAAAAAATCAAATCTGGACAAATACTCATATATCGAGGTGCGTTGTAAGAAAATATTTGTTGGTCGGATGCAACATTTGAATTATATCGAAAAACATAATAAGTTTTTTGCGTTGTTTACTCTTGAACTTTTTAAAAATTGTATGAATTTACCTTGAATTTTAGAAATTACATTATTGCTCCCTGAACTTTTAAAAATGTTACGTCAATGATTTCTCTATGCCAGATTTGGAAGTATTTTACTGTCTATCAATTGTTTCTTATTAGAGTTGCCCCGAAGGAGTTTCCTGTGTAGCGTTCTCTTTTGAGGTTCAGTCTTCAGCAATGAGTGGGTTTTGTTTTTGTTTGTTCGTACTCTATATAATTGAAGAAGGTTTTCATGTTCAGTTCTGTCCACCAAGTTTTGATGGTGTTTTTTATGACATAGTATTTGCCTATTTGGGGTATTTTGGTCGTCACAACCAACTGTATGCTCAACATGTTATGTGAAGTTTGTCGCACCTCAGTAAGGTAAGATTCAGTCCTTATGTTAGTTATCCCGCGTGGGAGTCATTCATCGATCATCACTTTTAGTTGTTTGTTTGCTCGGCTTGTTACCTTGTCAGTTGTTGCATCGGCAAACCAAATCTAGTTCAAATTATTTACCAAGTTATTCCATATTTTTTTCTAGTCTCAAGTTTATTTTTTATTGTCCAAGTTGTTCACACATGTCCCCATGTTTCAACTTAAAGATCAAGAGTGTTAACACGTCCCCATGTTTCAACTTAAGACTTATTGCTCTTGATAACATTTACTCCGTATTACTCTTGATAACTTTTTTGATACCAATAATTTGATATAATTTTTATATTTTTAATTCAATATATACTTTTATCTAAAGTTTCTGAAACGTAAGGCATGTAAAGCAAAATGGATAATTAAAAAGGAATGGAGAGAGTACTATGTATAAATGTATAATGCACCACATTTCTTTTGACTTTAAAACATAATAACCCGAGAATTACTCGGACACCATAGTGTTCTATTGGTAAAATTAATAGTTTTTACCCCTAAGCCACTTTCTAAACCCCTCATCTCAGTCCCCATTCCCCTTTCCCTGGCAGTAAGCTATACAACCAGGCCGAGGAGGAATGCGGAAGCAGAGGTACCAGGGTGGGGGGTTTAAAAGGGATTAGGGGTAAGAACTATCAATTTTATTAATGGCACATCGTACGTGCCCCAGAATATTCGAGTCATTCTTGATTCATTTTTTTCTAAGGTAAAAACTAGACCTGGCAAAACAGAACCGGAACCGATTACCCGAATCGAAATATCCGAAACCGAAACCGGAATGATCTGAAAAATGAAGATCTGATCTATAACCGAAAACCCGAAATGATCCGAACCGAACCGAAACCGAATTAAATAATTCATATCCGATTTAAATCCGAAACCGATTAGATCCGAAACTGATAATATCCGAACCGATTAAACCCGAAACCGATTAGATCCGGACCCGATAATACCCGAAACCGATAAAATCCGAAACCGATTAGATCTGAAACCGATAATATCCTAACTCGATTAAAACTAAAATTGATAAATTCAGAACTATGTTACCTTTCAATAAGCATATTATATTTTTAAATTTTTACTTTTATTTTACCATTTGAACTAGTTACATTACTTGCTCATTCTCTCATAAAATGGATTATCTTCTTGAAAAAAAAGTACAAATTTTTATGTCTTAAATTTATTATATGTAGAAATTAAAGATAAGTTATACATATAAATGATAACGCACAAACAAATAAAATTTCCGTAATTTTTAAATAGTAAAGTGTGATATTCTTTTTGGGACGAAAGGAATATATATGATGAGTTGTATGGAATAATTAGATTTTATCCTAATTTCATCTCATTACAATAAATTTTATTGATTTGAGAGTTAATTTGATTAGTTTCAAACCAATTCACTCAATATTAGTCAATAAAATTAAATGTTAGTGTTAGTATTTTGAAAAGACTCTCTAGCGACAGTCTTTACTGTTATCATTTTCAAATTTGATCTACACCATTACATTTAGGTGTAAAATTAATTATATTTGACTCTATTAAATTTAATTTTCTCTATTTTCAACCAAATATACTCAACAATTTACAAATTTTGCACTCAACTGAATAAAATTCACTTAATTTCACCCAATTTTCCTCAATTTTTACCAAATTCTATTCAAATGGAACATAAGACTATTTGAATTTATCTTTTATCCTTTCATTTATTTATATACATATAAGTATATTAGTAGATGTGAGAAAATTTTTATATTTCAAAACAAAATTTTAAAATCAATTTAATTATATTAAATTTATATCATAATTAAATATATATGTTTTCATAATTTGTAGTCCAACTTTGTAAAATATGACTAAAAAGTCAAAAGGGGAAAATTAGAAAATAATATATATCCAAAATATATTTGATCCGAAACCGAAATATATCCGAACCGAACTAGACCCGAAACCGAAATATATCCGACTCAAATTGTATCCGAACCGAAATCTATCCGAACCGATTTATAACCGAANAAATTTTAAAATCAATTTAATTATATTAAATTTATATCATAATTAAATATATATGTTTTCATAATTTGTAGTCCAACTTTGTAAAATATGACTAAAAAGTCAAAAGGGGAAAATTAGAAAATAATATATATCCAAAATATATTTGATCCGAAACCGAAATATATCCGAACCGAACTAGACCCGAAACCGAAATATATCCGACTCAAATTGTATCCGAACCGAAATCTATCCGAACCGATTTATAACCGAATCGTATCTGAACCGACTCGAAACCGAACCGAACCGAAAAATGTATAGAACCGAAATCAAATCCGAACCGAAATTTAACCGATCCGAACCGAACCGAACCGATTATAACATATAACCGAAAGATATCCAAACCGAAAAAATCCAACCCGAAAGCGATCCGGTTGATCCGATTGCCACCTCTAGTAAAAACTAAAGAACCTTACCGATTATTATGTTACTCCCTCTGTTAGGAAACAAGCTTTCCAGTTGATTTTTCGTAGTCTCTAATATACCAATCTGACCATTAATATCTACACTTACACATGAATATATTTTATAGAATTTTAATATTTCAAAATTATGTTTCATAACAAAGCTACTGAGATATTATACCTATATCAAAACACAATGTATTTTTCCATATATATCGAGGTCAAAGTTTACAAATTTTCACCAAAAAAATTCAAATGAGAAAATTACTTTCAGATGGAGGGAGTACTACATATAGTGACTTAAGCGCACGTTTAGTGCATGTTTCGTGTAGGTATAAAATTCTGGATTCTAAAGCCTTCTCGATTTTAGTGCACATTTAGTGCATGTTTCGTGTAGGTATCCAATTTTGGATTCTAGAGCCTTTTCCATTCTAGTGCACGTTTTGTGTAGGTATCCAATTCTGGATTCTAAAGCCTTTTCGATTTTAGTGCATGTTTTGTGTAGGTATCCAATTCTGGATTCTAAAGCCTTCTCGATCTTTTCATCAGATAAATTTAAAATGACAACTATAGAGTATCGAAGAACAAAACCACGCGCTAGAAATTTAAATAAAGATAATGTAGAGATTAATGTCGAAATGGCGAGAAGGTCAATGCTCCCCCAGTGAGTATATTATTACAACATTTTTTTCAAAAATTCAAAAACAAACATAAAATTGATTCTTGTGTTGCATAATTGATTCTTGTGTTGCATTCAATATATTATATTGCAGCATATTGTCTCATAAAGAAATGATTCTAAAGATGGGTGGCCGGAGGGTGTGCAAAGTGGCCAACTGCACATGGCCCCTAAAATTTTAGGGCTCCATATTTTTAAATTCATCATTAATTTTGAAGCATAAATATTCTAAAATAATAAAATAGGGCCCAAAATGTAAATTTCGGACCAGACCAATTTCAATTTTTTATTTTTCAAGGCCGGCCCTGATTCTAAATAAGTATGGTAGTTCCTAATTAATAAAGTGATTTAAGAATTAAGATCCTTTTCCTACATACAAGTTAGCTTAATCTACTTGTCCAAAAATAAAATACATCTTCTTACTAACCTAAT